GGTCCCACACTGCCTTGGTGGTCATGTCTCCTGTAATCTGGGACCCTCCCTCAGTCTCTTCTTGTCTTTCAAGACCTTGACACTTTTGAGGAAGAGCTGTAGTCAGTTATTTTGTAAGATAACCTTCCATTTGGGGTTATCTGAAGACTTCGTGAAGGAAGGGGCACCTTTGGTGGGCTTGTCGGAAGGGGACCTGGCGGACAGAGATGGAAGGAGGACCCTTCCTGCCAGGAGAACGGGGTGCAGGCACATCCGTCCTGGAGCACGCCGTTGTGGTCTTCCTCCTTCCTTACATGTACAAGGAACGGGAGCCTGAGCTGACCGGCTACCTTGTGACCCCTCTGTGTCCAGCACCTGCTGCTTTGGGTCTTGCCTGCCTCCCAGCAGCAAGAAGGTCCTCTCCACGGGGCTCCAGCCCAGCCTCCAGGTGCTCCCTGCTGTGCTGTTGGATTCAGGCTCTGGCTTCCTGGGTGTTAGAGCTGCTGTGCTTCCAGTCAGCTTTTCGCCAGACTTCACGCCCTTTTTCAGTCTGGGGACATAGGGTCTTATACTTGTTTTACTTTTCTTATTGTGACTATTGTGTTTGCTAAGACTTAGCACGCACTATGGGCAGGCTTCAGGCCAGGCCTTCTCAGTGGGAGGGAGATTACCCTCGGGGGAGGGGAGGAACTGACTCTGTGGGGAGGGGTGAAAGAATCTTACTCTTTTTATGTGTAAGTACAGATAGATCTTAATACTTAACGGATATGCAGGACATTGGTAGCATTACAATGTCACTGGAGGGAGGCAGTGACTAGGGAAAATAAATTTAAAAGGCTTATTGGTGGGATTGATAGTGAAAAAAGGGTTGAGAAACACTGATCTAGGCCAAATGATTTGCCTATATTATCTCATTTAATTTTATAACATTACTCAAGTTAAGTATTTGTATTATCTTCATCCTATATAATAATCCTATATAATAAAAGGGTAATATGCAAATTGACCCCAATGGCAGAACAACCAGTCACAACCAGTCACTATGATACATACTGACCACCAGGGGGCAGATGCTCAATGCAGGTGCTGCCCTCTGCTGGTCAGTGCTCTCCTACAGGGGGAGCTCTGCTCAGCCTCAAGGCGGGCTGATGGCTGTGAGCACAACAGTGGTGATGGGAGCCTCTCTTACCTCCTCGGCAGCGCTAAGGATGTCCGACTGCAGCTTAGGCCTGCTCCCCAGGGTGCCATAGGGGTTTCTGACTGCCAGCTTAGGCCCAATCCCCCAATCCCCGAGGGGTCCTGGATTGTGAGATGGCACAGACCAGGCTGAGGGACCCCCTGAGTGCACGGATTTTCCTGCACCATGCCTCTAGTTAAGAGATACAAATAAGGAAAGTAGAGATTAGAGGAATTGAGTAGCTTGCTCAAGGTCACAGAGCTCAGGGTAGACTGGGGGTTCCTAGACTCCAAAGGTTAAGGACTAAGCACGGGATATCCCTGTCAGTGTGTGGACTTATTCATATTAAAAATGAGTTAGAAAGTCAACTTTAAAAAAATGCATAGTGTACCCTAAGGCCAAAGAAAACTTCTCTAGACTTGTTCATTGGAACTTCCTGTTATATTGCCCTACGATTAAGGTTAATAATTGTGGGTCTGCTCCGCATACATTTGTAATGATGCTAGGATTCTACTCGGGGACAGGTATGTAATTACATGAGAGCAGGACCTTTGTCTGTTCCCTGGTGCCCTTCAGTGTCCAAAACAATTCAGCACATAGGAAGTGCTAAAAAAAAAAAAAATGTGTTGAGTGACTAAAGAGGAAAGGATGTTATACTTTAAGAAAAAATATTCAAAGCCAAAATGAATTAATTCACTTTTGATGTTCGGGGCATGATGTTTGCACTTAAAAAAATAAACACCAACCACCAAAATGTAGAAGACTCATACCTACCACAGAGAAAATAAGTTCTGGGTGGCCAACTGAGTTTAGTGTAGAAACCACCTCTAGCTACTCAAATTCCACATGGCTGACTTAATGTCCTTATACTGTGTTTGGCTGATGGAGAGATTAAATCAGACAATTTTTCCATCCATTTTGAGGGGCTTGAAAACCCCCACAATATTATTGTTTGAGACAGAGTGCTGATAACACAACTGAGTGAAATATAGAGCCTCTTCTTCCTCAGTTGAGTAAGCTACTATGTTTGAGGTGGGGACTCAAACCTACCTGAGATTTCTACTGCACTGGAAGGACGAGCAAAAGCCGTAAGTTGGATAAGGATGTGCAAGGAAGTCTGAAATGTCCTCTCCCTAAGAAATTTTACTTGTGTCATCTGTGAACTGGAAACTTAAATCCGTTAGCATATTACACAAAATTGAAATTCACTTTCTCCTTTTTGAGACATAACGTGCATCTCTGCTTGCACCAGTTGAAGGTTCAGGAGTGGTTACTGGATTAAGTTACATTTGCCAAACTGCCCTCTATAAAGGCAAATGCAAATTTCAGTCCTCACAGGCCCTTCCCAAAGTAAGCAATTCAGAGGATCAGGGGCCCAGAAAGGATAGCGTGGTCAGAAGGAGCCCATTTTAAGATACATGAGAGGAGAGAGACAAAAGAATGGTGACATCACTGCTGTTCCTCACTTTCTAGTTCCCACTGGCATTTCCCAGCAGCGCTGAGAGGGCTTCTAAGAAAATCTACCACAAGGGCAACTGAAACAAAAGTTGTGTGGCTCAGAGTCTCAGTGGTTGGGAATTTTGCTTGCTGCTTCAAAGGATAAGCTACCCTCTCCCCCTGCCCCCGTGTTAGACCACGCTTCTTTTGGATGTGGGTTCAAATATTTCTTTCTTTAAATCACATTTCTTAGAGTCCTATAAAGTTGCCTTTTTGTTTCCCTTTGCATTTAATTCTTCTTGTCTCACGCTCTTGAAAGTTATACGACTTGGCATAGCTAGATGGTAATGTTGGGAAATAGGGGTGGACACACACAAACACACAGACATACACACAGACACACCTGGACACACACACACTGGGATACATGCACACCTGAACACACACACACACACACACACACACACACACACACACCTGGACACACACACACTGGGATACATGCACACCTGAACACACACACAGACACACACACACACCTGGACACACACACACACTGGGATACATACACACCTGAACACACACACACACACATACACACACTGGGATACATAAATACCTGCCTACACACACACACACACACACACACACCTGGCCACACACACATTGGGATACATACACATGAACACACACACACACACCTGGACACACACACACTGGGATACATACACACCTAAACACACACAAATACACACACACACACCTGGACACACACACACACTGGGATACATAAATACCTACACACACACACACCTGCAAGGCTATACTCCAGCCCTCTTGCTTGAGGCTTCTGTTACAGGCTTTCTGCCACCTAACACTCAGCCTGAGAACTCTCTCAGCAGGACACCCTGTGCTACAGACACTCCATCCCACACACTGAACAACCTAATATATTTATTCAAAATAGAAAACCGCTTTCACCGTCTCAACCCCACCCCTCTCTTTTGCAGTTACTTAGACATTCCTTCTCTGCGTATCAGCATCAGGCTTATCTAGCCCTCTGGTGAGCTACACACAAGGGAGACTGTACCAGCTTCGCTTTAGGCACCCCCTCATGTCAAACCCTTCCCCTGTGGCTGCTTAAAAAAACCCAGACAGGAGTGAATGTGGTATTACTCACTCATTTGGCTAATGCATTTCCACACCCTTGAGGGGAGGCCTGTTTCAGACTTATCTTGTGGATTTTATTGTCCTGCTTCTATAATTCACGAGGAGAAATCATTTTAGCATTATACAATATTCTACAAAGTATATAAAACAACTCCTTTTTGCCCCCTCCAGGTAGATGGTTTGCTGTCCGGGGCAGTGATGTGAGCATGTGAGCACCCCGGAGGCCAATACCAATGTAGTCCAATCGATTGTTTCCCATGAGTGCCCACTTGCTATTGCCACAGTCCACCTGAAACCAGAACTAGAAGTCTATGTGCAACAAAAGGATGAGCTGGGCTGAGGTGGCAGGCTCCCAGGGGCTCGCAGAGGCTTTTTTTCATGGCCCAGAGTGTCCAGAGTTGTTGTTGTTGTTGTTGTTTGTTGTTGTTGGGGGGGGGGTTATCCTTGCCAAAGTAGAGATGAAAAATCTTACAAAATTAAAAAGGCATGCTCCTTGGCCTTGAAGTTTATAAAAGGCAGCAGCAGGGGGATACCAAGACCCAGGACTTCGAACTTGGATTGACATGAGACGTTGCTCTAAGCTGAGTGACCTTTGGGAGCTACTGAACCTCTCTGAACCTCATCTTTCTCATCTTCCAAAGGGAAGACAGGTAGTTACCTTTCTAGGGTTGTGGGAGGTGAAATGCATCCATATTGGGGCTGGAGATTAGTGCCAGGGCAGAGTTTTAAGGGGCTAAGGTGGTTGGCTTGTACTTCATGGACTGGGGCCAGTGTAAGTTTCCGGGGGAGTTAAGAGGTTGGATTTGTATTGAGGGAAGTGGGGTGTAGACAGGAATACCAGCAAGGTGCTTTCACACGGTCTGCACCAGGAGAGAGTATTTTGGGCTCATGATAATCACTTAATAAAACGGCAGGTGCTATTTAGTAATTGTTATAAATAATTTGATACCGGTGGTGAGGATGGAAGGCTCAGCTTTACTCCTGCATTACATTAACGTATAACATGCCTGTGCTGTTTGACCCACATCCCCGCATCCATTTCCAAGGTTGGGCCCATTTTTCCCTGGCTACCCTGGGCCGGACCACGTGGCCTCCCTTCCCAGCGGGGTGCCCTGCCAGCACTGTTTACACCCCCACCCCCACCTCCCCAACGCACACACACACACACACACACACACACACACCGCCTCCCCCACCCAGACCCTGCGGATGGGGCGGGCGGGAGGCCGCGCTCCCGGGGACCGGCAGTCCCCGAGGGGGAATAGCGCGCTTTGAGCGCCGCCACCCCGCGAGGCGCGCGGGGCCGGGGACGCCGGGCAGTGGCGCTGCCCGCGGGCCCATAAAAGGAGCAGCTGCGCCGGCCGCTCAGACGCGGGGCTGCGGCCGGCGGCCGGGTGCGCGCCTGGGCTCCGGCGGTGACCGAGCGCTCGGCCCGCAGGTAAGGGCGGCCCTGGGGCTCCGAGTGCCGGCCGGGGCGGGCGGGGCGGGGGCCAGGCCGGCGGGAGGGGGAGGAGGCGGCCGGCGGGAGCGGGGGGCGGGGGAGCTGGAGGAAGGATGCAGGGAGGGAAGAAGGCGGCCGGGAAGGAGGGAGGGTGGAGGGGGAAGGAGCCTCGCCGGAGCAGCTGGGCTGCACTTGCCTCCGGCTCACACGTTCAAGTTCCCCACCTCCGACCTCTGCCCGCGGGGGGCCGCTTCCCTCCCGGAACCGCTCCCCGAAAGGCTGGGCGCGGCGCGGGCTACGCGGCACGTTCCCGGTGCTTCTGGGGCGGCGGGCGCGGGGCCGGCCTCGCTGAGCCGGTGGCGACCCGGGCAGGTGGAGGGGATGCGGGGCCGGTCTCCTGCGGGTGGAGTCGCGGGGACGCTCCCTCGGCCCCGGTGCCGGGCCTCCCCCGCCGCCTCCCCTCCCGCGTCCCCACTGGCCCCGCTGCGGCCACTCAGTGAATTGTTGGCTTCCTCCCCACCCCCACCCCAGCCTGCACGTTAGCTGCTTCCAGAGCGTGGTTTGCATAGACGGGGCTCAGCTGGAGAGGATGGGAGGCTCCGGGAAGAAGAGGCCCTGTGTGCTGAGCCCCATCTAGAGCCGGCTCCCCGCCCCCACCCCAGGGCCCTGCGGGTCCCGACAGGGAAAGACGATGGGAGGGCACCCAGCCGTGGGCTTGTGGTCCCCCGGCTGCCCCAGCTCCTCCCCTGTGGGGGTCCCTCCTCCTGCCAGAGGTGGCTCAAGCTGAGGGCTCCATTTCACCTGGGGGTCCCCACACACCCCAGGCTCCATGCTCCCTGCCCACTCGGGAAATGCAGCTCTTCTCGTGGAAATCATGCCTTGAGCAGCATTTCTCCCACCAGACCAAAGCCGGTCGGTCAGTGAGTTGCATGCGTTCTGGCCTGGGTTGGGGTTCATTGGAGACCGTGGCTTGGGGAGCCTGAGCTGGGAGTTTGGGAATTCCTCGTTTACCCAGTTGCTTCTGGGTATGATCCTTAATTTCCTTCTCAGAAGGAGGCTTCATAGTTGGGCTTCTACAAGTGGGAGGTCACAACCCCAGGCTCTGCCTAAAAGTTGCACAGCAGCGGTTTGTATGTTGTGGAGAATGTGTGACTCGCTCTGTTGTAGAATGAACGCGGGCAGCGTCACCACCGCAGCCCGCCCTGGGGAGCGCCAGGCACCGGCCAGACTCTGTTCTTGGCTCTTTACACCTGCTCCGCTCTGGTTCCTGTGAGTCCCCAGTTAACAGATCGGGAGAAGCAGGGCAGGTTAGTGCATCCAGTGTCCACAGCAACCACTTGGCTGTGCTGGGACTTGGATCTAGGCAGTGCACCCCAGAGTCAAAAAGGTTTCAACATTACAGAATTTGCAAGTTCACCTGTATAAATCCTACCTGGCATATTAGACAATAATGAGTATAAAATGCCTAGCACGTAATTTTTAGAGTTATTATTAGGTGTATTTTGTAGTTGCAAGAGCACAGTGCCATAACCAGTTAAGGGTTTTAAGCAGAGGATCTCTGCTCTTATGTTTAACTCTTTCACTTCGGCAAAACACCTAAACCTCCCCTGCGACTCAGTGTGCACATCTGTAATGTGGGTGGTTCTGCAACCAAATAAGATGTACCTAAAACAATTAGCACCTGGCCTGGCACATATAGTGCTCAAGAAATGTTGCTGTCAGCCTTATTATTTTTTGTGAATCATTATAGGCTACCGCATTGGGTTTGCTTTTGTTTTGTAGTATCTGAATTAATATGGTTCTGCATTACTCCTTGGGCTGCAAGGCACCATATTACCTCTACATGCCTGAGCTTAAAGAGGTTGGTTGCACACATGTATACCCACATTCATGTTCTGGGGCCTGTGTGCCCGAGTGTGTGCATGCACACCCCCAGAACATCTACATTTGAAATTGCCGGAGCTTAGTGGGTTCAGAGGTGTTCAGAAGAGCTTTTTCTCCTGGCAAAGCCAGCACTCTGATTTCTAAGGGCCGGTGAAACTTCAAGGCTAATTTTAAAGCTGTCTGAAATCCAGCTGGAAGAATTAGCACCACACCTAACAGTTGCACGAGGGGCGGGGGAGTTGGGGGGGGGGGGGGAATGGGTTGCCTATAACATTTACTTTCTTCATAGGCTCTTAAAAAATCTATAACATATTTCGCTAAACTGTTACAAATAACCACCTGGAATCTTAACTCAGTTAAACAATTCTAGAATGAATTTCTTCTCAGGTATGGTTTTATAGATGTTGGTAAGTGAAAAGAAGTCTTTGAATGAAACCGCTTCAAAATACATTGTTGACATAGATTAATGTGTTTTGAACAGCTGCTTGTTTAAGTTTGGCCAAGCAATTTGTTTATAAATGTAGAAGATGCTGTAAGATCATTGTTTATAAAATAGATGTGTTGACTAGAAAACAACCCAAATGCCCATCCGTGCGGGACTGGTTAAAGAACTTGTAGTATATGTTTACAATGAGGTGGCTGTGCCCTCATTGAAAGAATGAGGTGTTTGTATGAGGGCATGGAAGGGGCAGCTGCCGTACCAACTCCATGTGGTCAAGAATTTTGTCCACTTTCATCACCTCTTTAGCACCTCCTGGAACAGTGCTTGCTACTTAATAATTGCTCCATAAATAATTAAATGAGTGAATATTGTTCATTGAGACAAAGCAAGGTATTGAACAGTGTCTCTAGTTCACTGTCATGCATGTTTTTAAATGAGTGCCTTTATGTGTGTGTGTGAGCATAGAAAACAAAGGTTATTTCTAGGGAAGGACTGGAGGCCTGAGGGAAGAGCAATTGTGTTGGTTGGTGGTTGGTTTTTTGTAACATACACCACTGTGTGCATGTACTAATTAAAACCAAACAATTTTCAGAGGACCTGGTTTCTTCATTTTTATTCTAGGTAACGCACCCTTCTTGTTACTACTTTACTACAGGTTATTTAAGTACCTGTTTGCCTTGTTTAAATGCCCATTTGCCTTGTTTAAATGCATGCAGCCTTTTGATAGGATGATAAGCATGGATTTGGGGGCGGGGAGTGTCTACTAGATGGAACTCCTACCCAAGTGGTGCATTGTGCTGCCTGTGTGATTGATTGCTCAGGAGGCTCACCTTCCTGTTGTCCTTGGCAGTCTTCATGGACCCCCCTTCACTCCCCCCCAACATCCCCCTCCCCCAGCCCCGGGCCTTAGACAGAGCTTGATCCCTCTCAGGAACTCCTTAGATATTTCTTAGTGAATGGATGGATAGAGTTTGAGTCACCTAAGAATTTATAATTTCATAGCAAGAAGGCCAAGTCTCAAAGTAAAGCACCTTTGGCTTCAGGTGGGTACTTCCTGGTCTTTGAGAAGTGTTTTGCAAGCACCTCTGAATCCGCACCTCTTGTGTAGATCCTCCGAAGGGCACGGTGGCCCACGAGGATGCAAGAAGAAACTGTCTCGAAGTCTGTGTCTGTATGTTTTTAAAATGTTGCTTTAAAAATATCCTATAGAGCCCGAATGTTAATAGTATGTAGTATTTGCTTTCTCTTGTTTGGTTTGTTGAAAGTTTATGTCACTTCACCTTTGCCAGTGTTTTTCTAAAATTCTTAAGCTTCTTTTAAGATACTGTATTTTGAGATGGGTGTGACACTTTCTCCTTTCTTATGAATTTTTGAAGAGTGCCATTAGAGTTTGGAAGAAGCTCTATTTTACATTGTTATTTGAAGTTTTAGTATGTGTCCATTCCTAAGATTTGGGTCTTTATTTCCATTATCCTTGGCCACCTTGGTAAATGAAGACTAAGGCACACGTGTCTATGGTAGCCCTCCCAAAAGAGATACTGATCCTTGTCCTAGGAGTGATCAGTATAGACCAGTGATGGCGAACCTATGACACGCGTGTCAGAGGTGACACGCGAACTCATTTTTTTGGTTGATTTTTCTTTGTTAAATGGCATTTAAATATATAAAATAAATATCAAAAATATACGTCTTTGTTTTATTATGGTTGCAAATATCAAAAAATTTCTGTATGTGACACAGCACCAGAGTTAAGTTAGGGTTTTTCAAAATGCTGACACGCCAAGCTCAAAAGGTTCGCCATCACTGGTATAGACAATGATAGTGAAGATGCTAGCAACATATTAACGCTATGGCAGTGACTAATTTCTAAGGCACACTCACATGCATTACTTAATCCACAAAATAACCTCATCAGGTTTGCGTTATGTTTGTTGTCAGAGGAAACACTGATCGGTGTACACCGCCTTTTCTTCAGCACTTCTAGCAGCATGTGTATTCCTTGATATTCTTGACCTGGCCTGCTACTATCAGGTGATAGTAGACTTTGGTGATGGATCAGGACAAGACCACTTGTAATCGTGTCATAACACAGACAAAGACATAAAAACTGTCTAGACCACAAAAATGACCAAACACCTCCCCTGCTAACTAATATCACTGACTTCTTCTACTTTGTTTTTGCAATTATAGTTGTAGCATTGCTTCATTCCTCCTGTGGAACAAGCATAGAATTACCTGCACTTCTTTTTCTATTATTATTTTTTATTTTTGAGAGAGAGAGAAACATTGATTGGCTGCATCCTACATGCCCCTTCCTGGGGATCCAGCCTGCAACCAGGACATGTGCCCTGACTGGGAATCAAACCAGCGACCTTTTGGTGCGTGGGATGATGCCCAACCAACTGAGCCACACCGGCCAGGGCTACCTCCATTTCTTAAGAGCAGTGCAGAAGGAAGCCTGCTTCTTTGAACCCTTCCTCCAATCACCCGAAGCCACTGGACACCTGCCCAGGTCCTATAAAAGCCCTTTGCAATACCCTCACCTCCCCCAGGGTACATCCTTCCTCTTGCAATGAGTCATAAGTCCACTCTTCAGCTCTCGGTGTGCTCCTAGCAGTCTTTAAAGCATTTGCATTTAGTTTAGAAACAGAAGAACTTTTCAGAATTCTTT